GGAAGAACTAATTCATGAATTTAATTATCAAAATGATATCAAATTCTTATTATGATTTTATGAGTCAAAAAGGACTTTGAAGTGAAACAGCGAGTCATTCGAAAAGTTTAATTGAGTATTTCTCCGGAAATGAGATTCTGGTTTCGGTACTTTGGCCGGAATTGTAACTTTTCATATTCGCCTTTGGCACTTCTTTCCAATGTTTCGATATTTTCGACAATTCTCTGTAAACTACTAATTATTCATTGAAAATTAAAGATGAAGTATTATTTTGCTCTAAACAGGAAAATTTTCGAGTTGAATGTAACCTAACTTTGTTTTATACCTTTATCCTTATTTGTTCTTTTTCTTTCAAGAATATTAAATAATTTTGTTCAAATGTTTGCAACTTCAAGCTTATTTACTTGTCTACCATGTACATATTCGATGTCGTGGCAATGCTATGATTGTCACCAAGATTAGGTAAGACCTCATGAGGAAGAAATACTCAAGTTGGTTCATTTACGATTTTCATATTGAATCTCTACTCATTTTTTGTGCTTCCTAGTTGAATGGGTATGTATCAAGCAATTATTATATCCAAATGACGGAATACTAATTAGCTTTCTTATTAGACTAGAGTATTTGTCTCGAGTTTAAAATTCATCTATAAGCTTAATTGATAAGTTTGATTTGTTAGCAAATGTAGTGATTCTCGTTAATATGTGATTATAATGATCATCCAGAGGCAGCAGTTAGAAAGGATTTATCGAATTAGCCAGGAGTTTTTAAATGTTTTTTTTTCTCCAATTCGATATTTTAATTTGATATTTGATTTAGTAATCAAATAGGCTTATGTGAGCATATGGCTGAGTTTCGATATTATATATATTTATATATTATTTTTTTCTAGTTCGGATATTTTCTAATTTGAAGATTTTTTTTATTTCGGTATTTAAATTTGATATCTGTTATACAATCAATTTGGTTAGCTTAATTTAATTTGATATTCAGATATTTATGATTCGATGATTTGGTAATGATGTATGAAATTTGATTTAAATGCCATCACTGGCTTACTTAGAATTTTCAATCATTCAACTCTTCCTTTTATTCGTTCCCATTATGCTTCATTCATTTATTTCCTCAATCATAAGCTTATTTCCCTAATCCAATCATTCATTTGAGCTCATTAATCAGGATGGTACCCCCCTATTTGATATAGGTCAAAAGTTGAAAAAAAGATAGTTTTGTTTTTTTTTGACAAAAAGCTGTCCTAATCAGGAATAGGCGTCTCATCATCATCTAGATTGTTTGTTATTGCAGCATTCTTAAGTTATTATAAATTAGGAAGTTTTGAAGATCAAATTTTTTGAAATGAAACCATACTAGCTTTTTATTATAATTAAATGAGAAATCTTTTGAACTGGCAATCTTCTTATGAATTCTCACAATAACTCTACTATTATATACAGTAGAAGATGTGATGTGATAGCATTCCATTTTCTAATTGTTGGATTACTACACTTTGTCACTTCTAAATAATGATATTTGACGTTTTTGCCAGTGAAGGAAAATTAAAAAATGTCGTCAAAAAATGGAATTTGGAAGATGAAATTATTATAAAACTAAGGCGATACTATCAAAATGCTGCATTCAATTTAGATGAGAATTAAAATGAATTCAAATAGTTGCCATTTTTTATCAGATGAAAATTTTGTCATTCAATTTGACGACATTACTATTCTTCAAATATTTATTTGGATTCAACTAGAAAGAAAGGAATATTTGATAAGTTGACAGCAAAGAAGGAAGAAAGTCTTCATTTCTGATCAACTCGAAAATCATCAATCTTGATTAAATAAAAAAAAAAAAGAAAGAAAGAAAGCAACTATATTGATCAGTTGACTGGTAGTATGGAAAAAAATAATAAAACAGTCAACTTAAAGGACAGATTTATTTTCCTATACAATGTTTTCAGTTGTTCCTCATTTAATATTTAACTGGCAGTGATATGTCTCGGATATTTGAGCCAAGAATGTCTAAGTCTGGATGAGTAGAAATGTCTAAGTCTGGATGAATAGAAATGTCTAAGTCTGGATGAGTAGAAATGTCTAAGTCTGGATGAGTGAGAATGCCTAAGCCTAGATGGGTAAGTATTTGCATAGGTAAGAATTCAAGAAATCAGAGGAATATTGAGTTCATTTCAAATCACTATTGAAAGTAAGCTGTGAAATGAGTTTTGAGTATTAATAATCGTTAAATTCACTGAAATCACTAATTACAATATGCAAATTATAGTGTTATATGAATTGAAAATGCATTGCAAACAAACATTCTATGCATTGTTAAAATTGTTTAAAGAACTATTTAATGAACTAATTTTTGTGGAATTCATTTGGCAAATTCAATCAGCTGTTTACTTTTTTCCTTTTTCTTTTGTTTACAGATTTCATTATAAAGTATCCGAACAGTTGAGCTTCGTTCATAAAGAAGGAAACATTTGAGGATATCATGAAGTTAATGTATGATCTTCTGGAACCACATTTAATTAGTTTTTTCATTTTCGTAATTGGATAGTAATTAACTGTTTATTGCTGATCTGTTATTGTTGTATCAATTCTTATCATCAAAATAATGTGATAAGCACAAAATGAAGAGGTATGAAGTATTTTTCAAAGTTTAACGATAGGTACAAAACATAATACATTTTGATATTTGTACATCTAAAATAAATTAATCAGAAAATATCTTACCTATGTTGCTCATCTATTTTACCTATCTTACCTATGCTATCTAGGCTAATATAAACATGATTGATAATTCATTCCCATGCTTATATGGATACAAAACATTTGCAAATGATGATAAGACTGGAAGAACGAAAACTTTCCTTATTTGGCTCTCCAGGTAATTCTTGCTGGTAGAGTTAGCAAATACCCATGATCATAGACGTAAATTCGTTTGTCGTAAGGATTATATGATATCATATTAGCGTTTCGATATAGATTAATCCAATGGATGTTTGGTTTGCGATATTTATTACGGTAGAGATCGTATGCGATTGCTATTTCACTTTTTAACTCATATGAACTTTTTACCTGTGAAAAAATCTTAAATGAAAATTAATAATTAATGGTTGTATTTTGTAATGGAATTGTTCAAAGTGATAAGCACATCTTCCTTGCGTTTATAAATAAAATGTGAGAAATCGACAAATAACAATCCTATAGAAATTTTTAAAATTTAAACAAACCAAATAAAGTACACCACACACGACAAAACCGTTCGCCACTTCGGTATGATTAATCAAAGTTAAATTCCATGTTTCGTAGATAGTTAGATTGCTAATGTCTAATTTAGCTACTGATAGGTATTCTTCATCCTCGTAATGAAACAACACCCATAAAGCATTCTCATCCACCGCCAAATCAAAATAATTCATCGATAAATTGAACAGGTACTAAAAGGAATTTATACTTGAATTTTTAGAAATTTAAAAAAGCACATTGTTGAAAAATTTCAAAATTGAAAAGCTAATTTTATGAAAAAAATGGATAAATATAAGGAAATGGTTTGGGAGAGTAAATTTATAATTAAAAAATTTGAATAAAAAAATAAATCAACTAACACTGTTCCCTTTATGCGCTGCATGCTTATCAATTAGCACTTCGTTGTAATCTTTTGAAAGTAATTCATATTTGCCGATTTTAGGAGTGCCAGCACGATGGAAATATATTGAACCATTGAAAAATATCAAATTCGTTCCATCATATAGATAAGGTAAATGATGTCTAAAATTTGAATTAGCCAATATTAATTTAATTATTTCCAATATTTCCTGAGAAAGTTGTTAAAATCGATAATACCGGCATCAGTGCATTGAAGCTTTTTTTTTAAAGTTTGATTTACTCACAAAGAATTTTTTTTTTAAATTCCAAAATTACTAAACATATGAAAATTTTCCAAGCTGCGCATACTATCATCGATTGTACAATCACATCATTATTTAATGCAATCAGCAGAAACATTTTAGTTCAATCACTAGTGATTTACCTGAACTTATTCGAAATGCTTACTTGAACCTGATTACTTAAATTTTTGCTTACTTGAACCTGCTTATTTAAATTCTTGCTTACTTGAACCTGCTTATTTAAATTTTTGCTTCAACCATTTGTATGGAATACATGTCTCATTACAATTGAAAATTATCCAATCATTTACTGTATATTTCAACTTCACTATACTATTGATTTCAAATAACAGTTATAAAAAAGAGGAAAACTGCTAACGTGACAAAAATGCGTTGCCTTCGCATGTCACCTTCATCTAAATACTCTTCCACTGTTTCACCTTGAAAATGTTTTGTCATCCAACGCTTCATCATATCCTTTAACAGAATTCAGTATGAGGTGACAAAATAACGAAAACCAAAAAAGCCAATCAATAAGTTGTATCTTTCAATATTATCATCATTTCCCGGAAAAATTATGAAAACATTCATACCTTTCCATTTTGTGGATAAGCATCACGCATCCATGATCCAAAATAGGTATTAGAATGAGCATGAAATATTGGTTTACCAACATCATCCAAATAACAATCTATAATTATCAGTAATTAAATAAATCTTTTTTATTATAATAATAAAACAAGAAGCTATCACAATTTCATTGGTGAAAATTTAAAACTTGCTTACGTGCAGTTGCTCCCTCGATATACGGTATCTCAGTGCTAGTTAACGAACTTTCTGCTTCAGATGGTAATGTTATATTTGATAGACAAACGCGAACACATTTATCAATTTCCGGCATCAGTTTAGTATCGTTCAGAAGCATCTGTTAAAACAACATTTCACTTCTACCACACAATATCATTCATGTTTTCAAACAGACTGATAAAAGTGGAAGAAAAAAAGGATAAATAGCTGAACATACTAGTCTAACAAAATATGGTAATTGATGTTCGGTGTATCGCGGTCCACCATTTCGAACATGTGTTGTCTGTGTTGGACATTCCATTGGTTTAACTTTCGCACATTCTGTTTTACGAAGCATTTCAAGATTTTCCGCAACCGGACATTTTGGACAAATCCCAGGTTTTCCGGGCGTTCCGGGAGGTCCTATAAATTTGCAAAATTTTGAGACTTTTTTTACACTAATGCGACGCATCAATGTAATACAAATATATGCGCCTATAATGTGAATATACAGGATATCGACAAACACACGATGCTAATGTTTGGAAACAGAAAAAGTGATACCTTGTGGACCTGGAGGTCCAGGCATTCCCATTAGACCTTCTCGTCCGGGTGGTCCAGGTTTTCCCGGATTCCTAGAAACCATGTGAATTTCACTATAATTTCACTATGTTCGATTCCATTATTTCACTATGGTACTATGGTGAATGAAAATTTTGTTAGAATCTAATTCTCGTAGGCAACATACCCAGGTGGTCCTGGTGGTCCAATTGGCCCAGGTGGTCCTCGACTGGTACTCGATTCTTCCGTACAATACTGATGTATTTCCAAGCACTTCTCAATCAACTTGTTGGCCTGATAAGCAAATTAACTTGTGCACATTTAAAAAATCTTCCCTTAAAATTCAACAGGAGAAGTTTATTTTTGATGTTAATGTTGTGGAATAAGCTAAAACAAACATTTTAATTTGGAAATGAATTATTCACACTAAACCTTAATTTTTGAATGTATTAAAACTTCATGTTTTGATGCATTTAACGATGCTGCAATGGATGGTAATGGTGCAGTTGCAGTTGCAGTTGCACGTCGGATACGTTTCAAAATCATTCCATCTTTCTGACAATTCGTCTCCATACCAACGATACGTGAGTAAATATCAATAAATGCTAGTAAAGTTAACAGCATACAAATTGTCTGACAATATTCCAAGTAGCGAATTTTTTTTCAAATCCCTTTCATCATCTGACATTTTGTGGAAGCCTATAAAATTATGCAAACTTTCCAAAAGCGCAAAATTTACAGTACTGTACAAATGATCATTCATTGATTTTCAAGTTGCAATATGATGAAACTTATTTCATCTAACATTCATTTGTTCCACTAATGATAATGAAGCAAATCTGTCTGATGAAGAAATTGAATTGGTCAAGTACTGGTCATACTAATATAATGGAAAGTTACAAGACTTAAGAATCAATCAATCAACAAATTTATTTCTAATAAATGCTCTTTAATTTTTGTTGATAGCAGTGAGACGCAAAAATAAAGAAACTCAAATCCAATAATTGTAATGATAAATGCAATATAACACGAACGATTGCTAGATATATTGTTTATTATGTTACTTTACCCCATAATATAAACAATTTAATGCTAAACAAACAAACTTCAACAAGCCTGTCAACGAGAGATTTTATCAATAGCTTTTAAATAGTTATAACTATTTGCTTTAATTTTAATTATGTTAATGTTTCATTTCATAATAAGTAAGTAAAGAATAGGATTAATAATGATTGGTATTTTTATTTGGATACAAACTGTGAAATTTTTAGAAGAATAACTGTGACAATTTCAGCTTACTTATTGCATTTCCTTTTTTTCAGTTTATTTTTTCACCATTTTTCCCATATGTCATTATTTTATTTCTTTTCGATTACCAATTTCCGGAATATTTTCCCTCTCATTTTCTTTTCATTCATTTTTTAAACAAATTTTCCTACGCCTTTTCCTAGTTGACAAACTTCTTTAGCTGAGTTACTCCAATTCTTTGTATTTTTCCATTGGTAATAAAATATTTAATATTAAATTTTATCGATTTGATACAATTTGAAAATAAAACCAAATAAATAAATATTAATACTATGAGATAATATTAAATTCCAAAGCACAAATAATTTAAATTAATTGAATTATGGTAGTTCTTGTAGAACAACTGGATTAGTTCAATTCTGTACATCTAAATGTTTTGGTTTCTTTCTCTTTCATTTTTTAATACGAATTTAGTTAAGGAAACGTTTTTTTTTCTTTTTTTTTCCAATAACTAAATTGATTCAAGATTTCCGTTCTTCAACTGAATGAAATTGATTAGCAAGTTAATTTAAAATGTGCAATGGAATATCAAATCATATGACCGAAGGAAAAATGAAATTTAAAAATATTTGACCAAAAAGGAAATGATCAATTTTTGCGGGAATTGTACAAGAAAGTAAAAGAAATACTTTTACTCATCAAGTATTTGGAAGGATTAATCAATTGAAAGTGAAAAAATCTTAGAATAAAAAGTGAAACTATGAATGACAAGGTAATTTTCATGCTTTCCAATAGCATATTATTAGAAATATCACTCTAAAAACAAATAAAATATGAACAGGATAGGAATGTTTCCTTCAGAATTCAGTGGAATTGTAAAAATGTGTTGAAATTTCTATGGGAAAAAAAGGAATTCGTTTAGTTATATAAGAAATCTATGCTCAAATCGTACAGGATATGATGCTAACGTCTATTTCGTCCATTTAAAATGGAAACAAAAAAAAAAAAAAGAAAAATTGTTGAAGATTTTTCAAACATTACGCTTTTGTTGATTAGCAACCAATTTTAAGTGTTTTTTAAAGTCATACCTCGAATTAATAATTGCCTTATCAAGCCAATCTTCCACTTCAGAATTACTCCTTATAAAAGTATCCTTATATTGCCAATTTAAGGATACTGTATTAAAATTAGTACAAAATGAAAGATTGAAATAATGCGATACGAATGGCGATGGCCAACCACCAAATGTAATCCTGTTAATTCGTCTGAAATAACAATGATTCGGTTAGATCAAAGTAAAAACTCATTCATTGTAATGAAGATAATTCGAAAGTAGAACAAGGCAAGGTGTTACGGTTAGTTATTCCGAAAACTGAAATATGAAACAAGAAAATACCATTTTTTTTTTACCGTTTTTGCCAACCGTGCAGGATGAAATCTCGTTCACTCCACATCGAATCCGTAATCCAAGTATCACGAGCCCATGCTTTACCTTTTGGTAGGATGCGCAATTGGTTTGGCCAGATTGTTGCTTCACCAGTGATGTTTCGAACGCAAGCTACATAAATGCTTAAACCATCGAAATTCCTATAACATGTAAATATAAAATATGGCTACAAGGACTGCAATAGTGAAAGAAGGGCGAATGGAGTGGCATCTGTTATTTCAAGAAGTTAACTCATACTAAATTAAACTTAATTTAACGCAGATAATTTGCGATGAGTTATTTAACTGACCATTTCTACGTTGCGATTATGTTATATCTGTTAAAAGTTAATTCGCAAAACTTGACGTCATCTTCTCAACGTAACTATTTTTAACTTTATGCATGAAACATCAAGAGAAGGTAAAACAATTCTGATTTGTTATTTCAGGATGAAACATACTGAAATTACGAACTTTACTTCCTTCCAAATACTTTCGCAAAATTTTCTTTCGCTGATTCTTCCCGAGAATATAAGTTCGAGCAAAACATTCTGTAAAATCAAATTTTACAAATTAGAAAATCAAATTTTACAAATTAGAATAGGCAATAAAAATTCTTCCATCGGTCTAATCTCGGTCACAATCGCGATTTAGTTTCAATGTTAAATCTTAAAATGTATTCTTTTATTAAAAATATAGTGGTGAATCATTTAGCAGAAATGCGTCATTATAAGCTATAAGATAATCAAATTTATTGTAAGATATTTAAGAT